GTGTCAGAGAGAGCGAACAATCTAAGCCCACTCTAAATCCTCCATTGATTCCCACTGAAACTCGACCACAACAGAAAGTTAAGTATGAGAAACTCTTCTGTGGCCTCATTAAAACCGTCAAACTTCCAAAACAATAGGAAAACAGCTATAGAGCTTAACGGTATAAATATGTAGAGACCACAATTCAAAAGCTTTTCCTCCGTAAGGGGAAAAATGCTGACAGCTTTATTCTCAAAAATTTATCATAGAAGTTTAAATGCGTGTTGCTCTAAAATCCATCGCTTACCGTCATTATCATCATGGTTTCAATACACGTCTCAAGATGATGGATATCTAGAGGGGGGATCCATGTTTGAGTAATGGGCAGCAGGGACAGGGCAGGAAAGCGGTCGCAAGCCTCTACTGTATACTGATGCAACGAAGCTTAGCCATGGCAACTGACCTAAAACACAGAATCTTAACAAACAGAACGAGCAGCCCTGCTAAGAAAAGAAACGGATGTTTTGCCACGGATGTGATTTACAAATGATCTTGAAACGAAAAATGTTCCCCAACTCATTATCATTACACGTCCTGAAGATGTCTTGCTGATGGCATTATATGTTAGAATACACAAACACTAGATGATGATGATATCAAATGACACAAAACAACTTGGAGCACACAAAAACTCCTTTAACTCATTTAAAAACCATCAACTAGTTTCAAAACTCAAAGCACACGCATCTAAACTCATTATGGGGAGCCATTTAGAGAGTCAAAGGCTGACTCAAAACTCCTACAGGAACAGACAAACGACAGCCGCCAGGGTAGAACTGAGCTCACATTTACATTGGTTCAAGCTTCTAAACTTCATCAGTCATCTAAACATCTTAACTTCTCTTTCATGTGTCTTCTTTAAATTGTCATGGGGTAAAGTTTATTCTAAGAAAGGTGATTTCTAAGAACAGCTACCTTCAGTTTTTGAAATATTCGACTGTAACAATAAGTCTATATTTTTCAATTATGTCTCAGAAGATTAGAAAAAACCTACAGATACAGAAAAAAGTTGCAAAATATAAATAAAATTTGTATGCAGAAAAATAATGAAGAATGATTGAGTTAAATGTGAACACTGAAGAATAGAGTCACTACCTAATAATAAAAATGTAGTGAAAGAAATTGAGCTTGCATGTAAGACAGGAAAGTTAAGGATTACACAGCGATTTGTTTGGTGAGGAAGGGAACTGAGAGGAATGATCTGACAGGCAATAGATGGGAGAGCAGATAAACCAAAATATACCCAGGCTTTGTGGGGAACCCGGTTTGTTGTTAGGTATTCATGATCGAAAAAAATGGCATTGGGAGGAACTCAAATTAAGTCGCTATTCATAATGTCATTATGAATGCTAGACATTTGAAAAGAATTTAGTCTGATCCACGATGGGGGGGGCATTGCTCTCCCATTTCTTCCTACAGCTGTGTCACATCACTGGACACAGTGGCCATCAGGCTTCTACACACAATGTTTGTGTTTAAAGAAAAAAGAAGGTTCTTATTAAAGTTTTATAACTGATGTGTATTGTGTTTTTTTTTATATGAACTCTGATGTCAAAGCAGTAAAAAAGTCCAAAGAAAACAATCAAAGGAGGAAAAACGGTAAAAAAGCACCTGAAACAAAGTAAAAAAATCAAGTATTTTCATTCCAACACACGCTGTTTTATCTTTCAGAAAAAAAACTCTACCTAGTCATTCGGCAAACATCCCTTCTTGCATCTTTCAGGACCTTCTTAGATCTGCAAACCACATCGGTTTGAATGCAGATCTATGATAAATGGGGGGCTTAGCAGAGAACTCCCCCCTCATGTGCACATAAAATGTGCAAACTCTGCACTTTAGGGTGATGTAAATGACACAGCTGGTGGGTTTGAAACAGGTTTGACCTCATATTGCTGCCATAGAGGATTAATTGACAGTGTTAAAGAAGTTATAAAATAGCTGTCAAGATAACAAGGAGATATTCCTCCCCCAGAGCCCAGGAATTCATGTATTATTTAAATTATCTGCATTTTTGCTGTTAAATAATATTTCTGGATTTTACTATTTATTTGTTTATTTTGTTATTATAGTAAAGATGCTAATTAAATATTTAGACATTCACCATGTCTTCGATTAAAACTCATATATGGCATTTTTATTTGTTCAAACATTCATGTTTGTTATAAAAAAAAATGCTTTTTGTGCCCTTTCTGTGTTCCCCTAGTTTCTCTGCATTTGGTCTTTATTTTCATACTTTCATACTGATGAACACTGACCTTTAAGTCAAACCTGTGATCATTTTTCGTTCCCATAGATTCAAGAGCTGTTTATGATCCTCTTATAATTGGATGTGAAGTGCGATGTTTGCCATGTCAGCTTCATTGTGAAGCCACAACAAAACGATCATCCAAACAGCCTTCCATATGGCAGCTGTGTGCAGCGGAGGTGTTGGCAGTGCTGAGACACAGCAGCATCAGCACAGTGTGAAGTTATCCCTGTGTGTGAATTCTTAAACTTCAATAATCAGCTTATCTACACCTAAAAAGCATGAATGCATAACTAAAAACCCAACCTTCATGTGACTGAAAATACTGTGGCGAATAATAAATAGGTCTAAACAAAGGTTTTTGATAACAGCACTGAAATAAGGACAGTGTCGCGCCCTGATTCACTGATCATGATGAATATTGCTGCTGATGAAAGCAACAATAAATCGCGTTGTGTGCCTAGTGTTCAAAACGCAAAACGTCCAATTAGATTAAAAGAGAACAGATGCTCGACAACATGGTGCTGCAGTCTAGGGCCTGCAGCAAAAGGACAAAATCTGTCAAAGCAACATGCCATCTCACTTCAGAGAGTGACTGAACAGTAGGTGTGTGAGGAAATAAAATGATCAACTCTTATGGTTTCAGCTTTGAAATGTATTTCCAAAATCCTTATGTTAACAAAATAAAGGATAAGGATATTCATTCTAATAAACCTTTAGAATAAAAAAAAAAAAAAAAAAAAATTACATCAAATGGCCAACAGATTACTAAATATATCATTGATATCCGCTATCATCGCAACCCCCAACCCCTTTACAGGGTAAAGAAGACCTCGCTTATTCAGCCAGGCCAACAATTCCCTTTAACAACACCCCTTTCAGAGGCATAGATAGGTAGGGGGCTTTGCAGGCTAACATAAAAATCTAAACGACCCCCATTCCAAGGGATGGATCCATTCGTTCGTTTCGATTTGCATATTTTCTAAACAAAAACAAGGGCTTGTTGCTTTACTATATATAGCCTCGAACTCAAGGCTGGCATTTTGGATGGGAAGCAAAACTTCTTCCAACTTGGAAACAAAGTTCAGTGGATTGTTTTTTAACTTTTTTGAATAAATATGACCTGGATGACTGAGAATATTCACCAGCATATCATTAAAGTACATGTTTTTTTAGATAGAGGACATCTACGAATATTAAAGTTATAAAAAATAACTAAACCTATTTTGCCCTGTCTATTATTTTCAAAGACAGATAATGACATCTAAATTCTCTTTTCTTCCTCTCGTCTATGAGAGAAAATGACGGTATTAGCTGTAGAAAAAAGATGCATTTCCTAACCACAAAAAAAAACTACCAGATTAAACTTATTTTTTGCTTCAGGATTGCAAAATTATTTCAGGTGATTTTAGGAAAGGAACGAGTTCGAGAAGAGGACATGGTTCAAAATTCTGATTTTATTGTTTGTTTTTCTATTTTTTTTTATTGTTTTATCGTTTCTATTATATTATATTATTTTAATGTTTGTTTTTTGGGGGCGGAGGAGCCAAATCCTGATGAATAAAACATAGAGGAGTAGTTTCATGTTATTACATCCTCCCTTATCATCTGCCTACAAATATAACTATTTAAATCTTAATTATGCTAAATGTAATTTAATTTTGAGTTAAGTCTGTTCCCACAGTGGTAAAAAGCAGGCCAAGCAAACTTGAGAGCTTTTAGATTTCCATTTAGGGTTCTGGTTTTTCAGGTCTCCCAAACCAGTTAAATTTGAGCTAGAGAATTCAAACCTT